AGAGAGAGAGAGAGAGAGAGAGAGAGAGAGAGAGAGAGAGAGAGAGAAACCAAAAATAAATAAATAGGAGGAAAGAGACCATTACAAAGGACAAGTATTATAAAGAATTAAGTAGTTACACTGAGTAGAGAGGTAAGGGTGGTCTTCAGCCAGGACATTCAGATAATAAAGAATGAAAGAGTAAATGCGTGACTGGAGAGATTCTGAGAATACTCAGGGAAGGCAGCGTTAGGAGGGAGCATGGAGGATATGGGGTCCCTGGCATGAGAGAAGAGCACAGAGGATGTCGATCTGACCAGGCGCTGAGAACTCTGTAGTGCATCTTATCAGTGTCTCGCAACGCTAACTGTGTTGATTCATTTCTTCATTCAAAGCCTAGGACTTACGAACCTTTACTAGCAAATAAGATTTCACTGTGGAAAAATAAGACAAACACGTGTGGACGAATGGGTATGAATGTTGCCAAATGGGCTGCTTTCCAAAACAGGTGTAAGAAAGCTGGGAGTGGGGGCTTGGGGGAGATAGAGTCACTTGCCAGAAAGGTGAGCAGGTGGCACCTGTCCGGCCAGGCAGGTGTAGAAGGCGAGAGTAATGCGCAGGTAGACAGAGAGAAGGATCTCGGAGGTTTGCCTGAGACACAGTGACAGCCTAGAGTCACCAATGTTCCCAAATACAGACAGGCCGGAAATCAGCGTCTGAGCAGCCTGGCAGAGGCCTGGGCCAAGGTTCAGCCCAGACCTTCAGGGTCTGGAGAAGCCCAGGCTTCCTCCCTGTTTCAAACCTTGCCTTGGGGCTTGGACACAGAGCCAGGCCAAGCTAATGAAAACCAGACTATGTCTGGCCTCAGGAAAAAAAAATAAGTCATGGATTTTTGGAAAATGTATTTAATGAAGGAAATGAATGCTGTAGAGGAAGTGCTTACTCTTAATGGGGAGAAAGAGGTGTTTGTTAATCCTCGGGTTGACAGATGACACTTTTGCTGGTGGTAAACCCAGGAAGAGAGGAGTGTGAGAAAAGTTCAGCAGCAAGTGACCTGAGCCGGGGCATCAAGTGTTCATTTGGGAGGAATGGATTCAGTTCTGGGAGTGATATCTAGATGCTTATTTGTGAAACAAAAGGGATGGCGAGGCTCCACGGAGGGTCAGAACCTAAAGACCCCCACGGTGTCCTTGCACTCCGTCCAGAACAAGTAGAGAACTACTGGTCTCTAAACTCCCAACCCTGAGGGGATATTGAGGAGTTGAGGGAATCCTAAATCTGTGTGGGAGAGCCTGGGAAGGTCCGAGGAAATGCCAGCGGAGCCATCTGTCCTAGCGGTTTGCTTCTCAGCTGCCGTTAGCACTGTTGATGTTTTGAAGCAAACAGCTCCCTGTGTGCCACGTAAGCTGTTTTTGTGTCTTGGCTGCTACGATCTACATGGAAGCATTGCTTCCTCCACGTTCTGACAGCCAAGCTCTGCCAGATGTCTCCCTGGAAGCGAAATCCCTCCTACTTGAGAGTCACCGACTAGATAGATAAGTCAACTTGGGAAAGGTTAAGAAGGGAAGATTGTGGAAATCTTCAAAACTCTTGAAGCTACGGAAAATGGTTTCTCCGTTCCCTAACTTCTTACAACACAAAGCCCTCTGAAGGCCCAGCGTAAACTTTCTTAGTGAATGAAGACTGTCCCTTGTAAGTAGTAAGTGCTGATATATTGGCGCACGCGGCAGATTCTCAAGGTTCCGTTGGAAAATCCTGAGCTGGATTGCTTTTCTGAGAGAGGCATGTGTTTCTATAATACATAGTTTTCAGTTGAGCAGAGAGAGAATTTTGGCATTAGGCACAAAGCGATATTTTTTTTCTGTTTCTTGCTCTTCATATTTGATAGCCAAAATTCTGAGCTGTTTAAATGGGTAAAAAAATGAAATAAATTGAGAGTTTCATTCAGTTGTTGATAACCCTTTTGTTTCTATTTAAATTCAGGATGTAAGTTTTAAATATCTGTTATTCTTTGCTATTTCTGTTGTCCTTGGCTTTTCTCTAACAGGTTTCTTTCTCTCTCTTATTTTTCTTGCCCTTCCAGGAAACATTGGAAATTCTTTTACAATCGACCCCATCTTGGGCTCTATAAAAACTGCCAGAGAATTGGACCGAAGTCACCAGGTAGACTATGATTTAGTGGTAAAAGCTACAGACAAAGGCGATCCACCATTGAGTGAAATGACCTCCGTGCGCATCGCCGTCACTGTAGCCGACAACGCCTCTCCTAAGTTCACGTCCAAAGAGTACTCTGTGGAGATCAGTGAAGCCATCAGGGTTGGGAGTTTTGTTGGGATGGTCTCTGCTCAGAGTCAGTCATCAGTGATGTATGAAATAAGAGATGGAAACACGGGTGATGCATTTAATATTAACCCACATTCTGGAAGCATCGTCACTCAGAGAGCCTTGGATTTTGAAACACTGCCCATTTATACATTGACAGTACAAGGGACCAACATGGCCGGTTTGTCCACCAACACGACAGTGGTAGTGCATGTACAGGATGAGAATGACAACCCACCGGTTTTTACACGGACGGAATATTCGGGATTCATCAGTGAGTCAGCCTCCGTCAACAGTGTGGTGCTAACAGACAGGAATGTTCCGCTGGTGATTCGAGCGACGGATGCCGACAGGGAATCCAACGCTCTTCTCGTCTATCAAATCGTAGAGCCCTCTGTGCACAACTATTTTGCAATTGATCCCACCACTGGCGCTATCCGGACGGTGCTGAGTCTGGACTATGAAGAAACACATGCTTTCCACTTTACCGTCCAAGTGCATGACATGGGGACACCTCGTCTGTTTGCTGAGTATGCAGCTAATGTGACTGTGCATGTGATTGACATCAATGACTGCCCCCCTGTTTTCTCTAAGTCACTGTACGAAGCATCTCTTCTGTTGCCAACATACAAAGGGGTAAATGTCATCACAGTGAATGCCACAGATGCCGACTCCAGGGCATTCTCCCAGTTACTATACTCCATCACTGAAGGCAACATTGGGGAGAAGTTCTCAATGGACTACAAGACCGGCACCATAGCAATACAAAACACGACTCAGCTCCGAAGCCGCTATGAGCTGGCCGTCCGCGCCTCCGACGGCAGGTTCACAAGCATGGCCTCCGTGAAAATCAATGTGAAGGAAAGCAGAGAGAGTCCACTCAAGTTCACCCAGGACACCTACTCTGCAGTTGTGAAGGAAAACTCCACAGAAGCCAAAACGTTAGCTGTCATTACCGCGATAGGGAACCCTATCAATGAGCCTTTGTTTTACCGTATCCTCAACCCAGACCGCAGATTTAAGATCAGCCACACTTCCGGAGTGCTGTCCACCACTGGGATACCATTTGATCGTGAACAACGGGAGACGTTTGACGTGGTGGTAGAGGTGACTAAGGAACTCGAGCCGTTGACAGTGGCCCACGTCGTGGTGAAAGTCACCATTGAAGACCAGAATGATAACGCTCCAGTGTTTGTCAACCTTCCCTACTATGCTGTCGTGAAGGTGGATGCTGAGGTGGGTCATGTCATTCGCCACGTTACTGCCATCGACAGAGACAGTGGCAGAAATGGTGACATACACTACTACCTTAAGGAACATCATGACCACTTCCAGATTGGACCCTCTGGTGACATTTCTCTGAAGAAGCAGTTTGAGCATGACACCTTAAATAAAGAATACCTTGTCACCGTGGTCGCCAAGGATGGAGGAAGCCCAGCTTTCTCTGCAGAAGTTCTGGTTCCCATTACTGTCATGAACAAAGCCATGCCCGTGTTTGAAAAGGCTTTCTATAGTGCAGAGATTCCAGAGAACATCCAGATGCATAGCCCAGTGGTCCACGTTCAAGCCAACAGCCCAGAAGGTTTGAAAGTGTTCTACAGTATCACGGACGGAGACCCTTTTAGTCAGTTCACTATTAATTTCAACACTGGGGTGATAAACGTCATAGCACCGCTGGATTTTGAGTCCCACCCAGCCTATAAACTAAGCATACGAGCAACTGACTCCCTGACGGGTGCTCATGCTGAAGTGTTTGTTGATATCATAGTGGAAGACATCAATGATAACCCTCCGGTGTTTGTGCAGCAATCTTACTCCACAACCTTGTCTGAAGCATCTGTAATTGGAACACCTGTCCTTCAAGTTCGAGCCACAGATTCTGACTCGGAACCAAACAGAGGAATTTCCTACCAGCTGATTGGAAATCACAGCAAAAGCCAGGATCATTTTCACATAGATAGTAACACCGGGCTCATTTCACTCGTAAGAGCTTTGGATTATGAACAGCTCCAACAGCACAGGATTTTTGTAAGGGCTGTTGATGGAGGAATGCCGCCCCTGAGCAGTGATGTGGTCGTCACTGTGGATGTCACTGACCTCAATGATAACCCACCTCTGTTTGAACAACAGGTCTATGAAGCCAGAATCAGTGAGCACGCAGTGCACGGACATTTCGTGATGTGTGTGAAAGCCTGCGACGCAGATAGCTCAGACCTAGACAAGTTAGAGTACTCCATTCTGTCCGGCAATGATCATAAAAGCTTTGTCATTGACAGGGAAACGGGAATTATCACGCTGTCAAACCTCCGCCGTCACACCTTGAAGCCCTTCTACAGCCTCAACGTCTCTGTGTCTGATGGGGTTTTTCGAAGCTCAGCTCAGGTTAACGTAACTGTGATGGGAGGGAATTTGCACAGTCCCGTTTTTCACCAGAATGAATACGAAGTAGAGCTAGCCGAAAACGCTCCTTTGCACACCCTAGTGGTCCATGTGAAGGCCACCGACAGAGACACTGGTATTTACAGCCATATAACTTACCATATTGTAAATGACTTTGCCAAAGATAGGTTTTATGTGAATGACAGAGGGCAGATTTTCACTTTGGAGAAACTTGATCGAGAGACTCCGGCAGAAAAAGTAATCTCAATCCGTTTGATGGCTAAGGATGCTGGGGGAAAAGTTGCCTTCTGCACCATCAATGTCATCCTCACAGACGACAATGACAACGCGCCACAGTTTCGCTCAACCAAGTACGAGGTGAACGTTGGGTCCAGCGCTGCCAAAGGGACGTCAGTCGTCAAGATCTTCGCAAGTGACGCCGATGAGGGATCGAATGCTGACGTCACCTATGCCATTGAGGCGGATTCTGAAAGTGTCAAGGAGAATTTGGAAATCAACAAACTGACTGGCCTGATTACTACAAAGGAAAGTTTAATAGGCTTAGAGAATGAGTTCTTCACTTTCTTCGTGAGAGCCGTGGATAGCGGGTCTCCGCCCAAGGAATCTGTTGTTCCTGTCTATGTTAAAATACTTCCACCAGAAGTGCAGCTTCCCAGGTTCTCAGAGCCCTTTTACACCTATGCCATCTCAGAAGACATGCCCATTGGGACAGAAATTGACCTCATCCGGGTAGAACATAGCGGGCCGGTTCTTTACACCCTTGTCAAAGGCAATACTCCTGAGAGTAATAGAGATGAATTCTTTGTGATTGACAGGCAGAGTGGGAGGCTGAAACTGGAGAAGAGTCTTGACCATGAGACCACTAAGTGGTATCAATTTTCCGTCCTGGCCAGATGCACTCTTGATGACTACGAGGTGGTGGCTTCTATAGATGTCAGTATCCAGGTGAAAGACGCTAATGATAACAGCCCAGTTTTGGAGTCTAACCCGTATGAGGCATTTATTGTTGAAAACCTGCCAGCAGGAAGTAGAGTCATCCAGATCAGAGCATCTGACCTCGACTCAGGAGCCAACGGCCAAGTCATGTACAGTCTAGATCAGTCCCAAGATGCAGATGTCATTGAATCTTTTGCCATCAACATGGAAACAGGCTGGATTACAACTCTCAAGGAGCTTGACCACGAAGAGAGAGCCAGTTACCAGATCAAAGTGGTTGCGTCGGATCATGGTGAAAAGCTGCAGCTGTCTTCCACCGCCATTGTGGATGTGACAGTCACCGATGTCAATGACAGCCCTCCGAGATTCACCGCTGAGATTTACAAAGGGACAGTGAGTGAGGATGACCCTCCGGGTGGTGTGATCGCCATCTTAAGCACCACTGACGCTGACTCTGAAGAGATTAACAGACAGGTGTCATACTTCATAACAGGTAAAATGCTCGGGACAAACAATTCAGTATAAGATGAATCCATATTATAATATGCTAGGTGTGGATTTATGGATTTGAGGAGTTGACGTGATTTTAGTTGAGTGTGTCTAAAATTAGTCGAAATAACGTGTAAGGTGAATTTAAAGGTCTTTAAGCAAAGCTGTTTTCAGCCAAGAATCCTAAGATTTATTCTGTTGAACTTTATACTTAGTATTGTAAATGTGATCTAAAGATTCATTGCAAACTACATTATGGCTTTTTAAATTTGATATTCCTTAATCTCATATTTGAATAAACATGTTACTGCCGCCTTTTTAATTTCTATTTTTTTTAAAGCTAATGTGTAGTAATATGTGTAGTCCACACTTAATAGTCCCAAAGGAACTGAGGCAGGAGGCTTCTGTAAGGTAGAGGCCAGCTTAGAATACAAAACCACAGCACCAAAAACAAAAGAAAAGCAAGTATGTATCAATTTTACTCACACTTTAAATAGTCTTCATCCCTTTTAAACCATAATGCCATTCATTTTTTGTATAATCTGTCTTTCCCTGTGGTTTTGAGGTTCACTTTCTAGTCCAACAGCTTTGAATCACCTTCCTCCCTTAACTTCCTAGGAGGAGACGTGTTGGGACAGTTTGCTGTGGAAAATGTGCAGAATGACTGGAGGGTGTACGTGAAGAAACCTCTGGACAGGGAGCAAAAGGACAGTTACCTTCTGACTGTCACGGCCACAGATGGAACCTTCTCTTCCAAAGCTAGAGTTGAAGTCAAAGTCCTCGATGCCAACGACAACAGTCCAGTTTGTGAGAAGGTAGGAGTGTTTCCCTTAGGAGTGTACCTCACAGATGTAAGGCTCTTCATCCTTTCCATGGGACAGCCTTTGAGGTGTCATGACTCCTGAGTGTTTTGTGTTACCATTGCTTATCAGGTTGAGGTGGAGGAGAGTCACATGAGCAGGACTTGAGAAAGTGACACTGGGACATGGGGCATGCTATGTTGATCAAGAACTTTGGTCTAAAATGTTGTAAAATACAGTGTCTCTTACACCAGCATCTGATGCTAAAAAATAGTCTGGAAACTTTTCATGAAAATAATCTCTTCATTTGACGAAATAGTTGTTTCAGGGACGGGGAAACATCTGGGCAGTAGCTTCCCCTTGCACAGCACACATGTGTGTTAATGGACCATTTTGAAGCACTGGTTGTTTATACTAGAGAAACCATGAGGTCAGTGGAGTGACTACTGCTGCTGCTGCTGTTCCTGCTGCTGGGCTCAATTGAACCTGGGGCCATGGAACTGTAGCAGGCAAGATGGCTGGCTGGAACTGGGTAATTAAAATGCCGCCCAGTGGCAGAGCCTGGTTTAGCCTTAGTAGTTTATGACCAGGAGTAGAAATGCAGGGCCTCAGCTTGTGAAGACTGAAGGCAAGTGTGGAGAAACCAGCTTGGTTTGCCAGCAATAGAGGAAGTCTTAGCAGCCATGGGAAGGATCCCGGCCTCGTGGTGCAAACCTGGTATCCTAGGATGTTTGGCTGAGGTCAGAGAATTGTCTCGTGTTCTTTGAGAAGTAAACAAAGCCTCATTGTCAGGGAAGGTGGCACGTCTGAAAGATCAACAGTTAATTCTAACATGTATTTGTATTTTTTATGAGAGTATTTGATGATAGTGATGGGCAATGTATCTCTTCTTTTTATATATTATATTTTATATATGTAAATTATACTTACATAAAATATATGTACATGTATACATATTATTGTATGTATGTATATTTTATATATGTATAGTATCTATATTAAATCTTACCCCATTCGTAATTTTTAAACATATCAACTCAGTACAACTTAGGTAGTACTGTATTTGAGAGCATCACCACTTGAAATGACCACTGTTATAAAATACCCTGTCTTGTGAACCCTAAAATATATCTTCCCTACACTAAGCGCATGTTAGAAAGTAAGTGTAGAGGCGTCATCTCTTTCCCTTATGTTCTGTTTATGGCATGGCTAATGTGATCATTGGAACTGGAACCAAGCGTCCTCCAGAGTAAGGATTCAGGCAGATGTGAAGAAAGGAAATGTGGCGTGGTAGCAGACATGCCTGCGCCTTACCCAGCCCTTGGTTTTCTCCCATCCCATGAAGACTATTTAACTTCTAACTGCCGTTATTCGATTCTCTGTGAGGAACAGTTGGTTGTACACAGTCGATCCCTGCTCCTCAAATTAAGTAAATACAATGTAACAGTTACATATTTCTGCTAGTTTTACATAAACTTGGGCCATTACTTAACATTTTCTCATAAGAGTTTGAATTAAGTATGAAACTGTTCAACCGCATATAATATTTTGTATCCTGTGGGTTCCATGGCAGGTTGGAGTCACGATGTGGGGCTGGTAGCCGGTAGCCGTAGCTGTTATGAACCTCTTCCTTGTTCCCACATCTGTTTTATAAGAACAATCATTTTAAAAGCTCTTTGAGTATTAACTCCAGTCCTTTCCCAGGGTTTCTGTGGCCAGAACGGATGATGTCTTTTCCATCTTCCCCTTGGTCGTCGCTGCTGACACTGAGTGCTTCTGTGTTAACAGTGTTGTTTAATGTCTTGTAGACCTCATATTCTGATACCATTCCTGAAGACGCCCTTCCTGGGAAGCTTGTCATGCAAGTCTCTGCCACAGACGCAGACATCCGGTCCAACGCGGAGATTACTTACACTTTATTTGGTTCAGGTGCAGAAAAGTTTAAACTGAATCCAGACACAGGTAAGGATGGAATTTGGGACTAATTTAATAGTGTATTTCCTCTGTGTGGGTGACGTGAGATCACATACAAAACTGGAAGTTACATTTTTTTTTCTCTTTTAAATTTTATCCTGATGCTGTGGAAATAACATCTTAGAAATCTAGACAGCAACTTAACGTGTAAAAGTTGGGAAGGGATTAAAACAAGAAGCCTTAGTTACCACCTATTGGACTTTAAGATTGAGAAGTTAATATATACTTTCTATGAAAAAAATACTCAGGGTGGATCTAAATGTTTCTGCTTTAAATTAATTGATAGTGTGTTTCCTAAACTTGTGAGCGTACATTTGTAATTTGTCGTTTTCTATAATGAAAACGATCCACATCTTTAAGGTTCATCTTTAAGCTTTTGAACTTGGTAAGGTAGTTATTGATACTGTTTTTCTCCAAATGAAGAGTTATACAGATTTTGTAGAAGGAAAAGAAAGTGTTGGTTAACCATCCTGAGTCTCCATTGTCTCATTCATTTCCGCTCGTCTGTAGGTGAACTGAGAACAGTAGCCCTCCTTGATCGTGAGGAGCAAGCAGTTTATAATCTTCTAGTCAAGGCCACGGATGGAGGGGGGAGATCCTGTCAGGCAGCTGTTGTGCTCACGTTAGAAGATGTGAATGACAACGCCCCTGAGTTCACTGCAGAGCCGTACACCATCACGGTATTTGAGAACACAGAGCCTGGGACACCGCTGACCAGAGTGCAGGCCACTGATGCAGATGCAGGTATCTTGAGGGCAGGAGATAGATGGTCTGGCTTTGGGGTGTTTAGAAGGCATTGGGCCCCATGATAGAACACACCCCATTGGAGTGTGGTTGACCTCTTTTCCTCACGCACATGATGGAGCTTGGCATTGCTGTGGTCACAATAACCTAGGCCATTTTTCATGAATGTTTAAAGTCCTGACAGTTACCTTAAGGAAACTTCCTGCTACAGTGTAGCTGTGGTGTCTCTAAGTTGTTGTTGACGCCATTACCTGACACCCCCAACACCTATGTTGGGAATTGAACCTGCGGCTTTCCTATGCTTGGCTGAGGTTTTGCCAGTTTTATCCCCAGCCCCTTGAAGTGCTTTTTTTTGGGGTGGGGGAATAAATCAGTAGTGCTGTTAAGAAAGTTACAGCATCACAGAAACATAGCAAAGCTAGTACTATATTGCTAAAGTTGTATACATTTTCAAGAATATTTGTGAAGAAAATAAGTCTATAAATTCAAAAACATTCTGATAATAGAGAATAAGATACCTTCCTGACTTAATATTGAAGATATTTTTAAAAGTCAGACTTAGAATTCTTTGTCAGCGAAGTTAAGTAACAAGCAGATTTTGTTTTGGTCTTACAGATTCTATTTAGTTAATATAGATTCCAGCATTTCAGGGATAGGGACTCAAGGGCCCCTATTCCTAGCTGAGAAGCTATCGACAATGTATGGCTTCTGTAGGAAAGAGAGGCAGTTTCCTTTAAGAGTCCAGGTTGTTCATGCACAGTCTTGGTGGATGACTCCATCCCTGTGAGTAAAGGGTAGCACATATTGGGGCTGGTGAGGTTTTTTTTTTTTTTTTTTAAGAAAAAGTAAAAAGCACATGAAGATGGAAGAGGTGCAGGGGTGGACCTAGGACAAGCTAGGAGAAGTGACAGTGAATTATTGAAATACGTGTTATGTGAAGTTCTCAATGAATTAGCGAAGATACTAAATTAAAAAATCTTGGCTACTGTCATGATTTGAATTGTATCTTTTGATTATATGTTTGACTGATAGGTCCATGTTATCTGTTTGCATTTTCATCATTTAAAAATGTCTTGCATTTTTAAATTTCTCGCCATGAAACCTGATAGGATTTCATGTTTTGCCAGGATTGAATCGGAAGATTTCCTACTCACTGATTGACTCTGCTGACGGGCAGTTCTCCATTAACGAGCTATCTGGAATTATCCAGTTGGAAAAGCATTTGGACAGGGAACTACAGGCAGTATATACTCTCACTTTGAAAGCAGTGGACCAAGGACTGCCAAGGAAATTGACAGCTACCGGCACGGTGGTTGTGTCTGTCTTGGATATAAACGACAACCCGCCTGTGTTTGAATACCGTGAGTATGGTGCCACTGTGTCTGAGGACATTGTCATCGGGACAGAGGTTCTCCAGGTGTACGCAGCAAGTCGGGATATCGAGGCAAACGCAGAAATCACCTACGCCATAATAAGTGGAAACGAACATGGAAAATTCAGCATTGATTCTAAGACAGGTAACCCTCCCCGTGAGTGAGGAAGCCCTCATTCCGTACTGAGGACTGGATCTGCCTCACACTTCATGCAAAGTGGTCCATGGGTGTCCTAAAGACGTAAAGCTCAAGATTCCCTTTCTGTTCCTTAGTGGGATTGAGAGCAGTTTGGAAACCATCATTCTCTGATTCTATATACTACCTATTTTCTAGCAGATCCATTGTACATTACAAGCCAGTTTGGAAAACTCTTGACTCTCACTCAGTTTAGTGATGATGCAAAGTGTCCCAGGTTTGCCAAGGCAGGATGCTTAGTGGTGATAACCTTGTGTAATTACTCATTTAATCCTCATATCAAAGGTACGTGGAGTGGCTTCCTCCTGACAGATGTTCCTGTATTGGACATCTGTTAATTCCATAAGTTGACTTCTCTACTGTGCTCATTATATACACTAGTAAAGGGAGATTGGCTTCTACAGAGCCAGCAGTATTAAGGATCAACCATTACTAACGCCTGCTTTGTGAAGAATCATGGTGTAGTTGTGTTAGCCTGTGGTCTAAAATACTTACTAGCGCTCAGGATATTATACAATGTAACTATCAGGCTGTGCTTAGCTGTGAGTGGTGTGTGACTGTTTCTGATGAAGAATAGGTGTCTAATGATTTTTAATGTGTATTTTTAATGTCTTATATCTGTGGGACTTTTGAAGCAA